GCCCCGACGTCTCCATTCCATGTCACAAGTATCAGAGCCCTGTTCTTTGGCTTCTAGCTAGGACTTCTGAAATGAAGACAATGCAAAAACGAAACCAGGAATTTGCAATCAGAAAACAAAAGAAACCTAAGTGTATCATTGACTTAGTTCCTTTTATGTTTCCAAACTAAGTTGTCAAGAAGAGAAATGTGGTATCTAAGAACATCTGGTTATTATTTGGTGGGGGGCAGGAGAATACCTAGCATACAGCCCCAAGAAAAATTTTAAAGAAACAAAATTGAGAAGATTTTTTAAAAATTTACTAAATTACAGAATCACAGGCAGATTCCTTCCACTCCATAAGTGATCTAAGACTATTCCTTCGCACAATGGTAGCCAAAAAAACTGGGTGGGGAGCAGGGGAAAGAAAGCCTAGTGTTCACAGAGAAATAAAAACAGCTTACAAAGAGGCAATGAGGTTGAATGACTAGCCCAAAGTCACACAGTCAGTCTCAGGCAGACCAGGAATAGAAGGTAGGTCTGTTGACTCTCCTTGAGCTCCTACTCCTTCAGAACTCAGGGCCTGTTTGATCACAGACTCAGCATGGGTCAGATTCACACTGATCTCAGCAGGAGCTTTCTGCCTGAATAAAAGCCAGCTCTGAAGATAAAAAAATTCTACAGAAGTCCCAAATATGGTTGTTACTATTAAAAAGCCATCTTCCTCTAAGTTAAAAAAAAAAAAAAAAGGCACAGAAAATCTCAATAGCAAATCAAGATTTAACATTGATCTTGCTCCTTCTTCCTCTGAGCACAAGAGTTTCAGGGTCCTTCCCTCTCTGACTTCCTCCCACTACAAAACAGCTTTGAGGCAGCAGATCCTACACCACCCCCTCTCTTGGAATATGTATTATTTCTCAGCAGGCTCCGGCAGGATTTGAGGAGCCAATCTGTGAGGGAGCGAACTCAAGATCTCCCATAATAGCACCGAGAAGACAGAAAATTGCTCCCAAAAGTGTAAATTGCTTTTTTTTTTTTTTGCTTGAAAAAAAAAAAAATCACTCTGGGCTTCAAAGACACCCTCTTAAAAGATGACTCCATGGTGGTTAATATCCATGTTCTACACATGAGGATTTCTGTTCATCCATGCCCTCCAAGAATCCCTATTGTCTATGTAACTGTAGCATGGATTTGAAGAGTAAACCACCAAACACAGGGGCAACAGGCAGGGAATTCTGCAGGGTCAAAGGAAGGCTTGGCTGTCCACTCCCCAGGGAGTCTGAAAGTACTCCTTTTGCCGCTGACCCTGAAACGGCACTGTGTGATGGTGAGATGAAGAACTAACCCTTTATAGTGACAAAGGTTAAGGAGAGGAGCTGTACCTTGCAGAAAACAGAGGCCCTAGCAATTCAATGTCAAAGCAAGTAAGACCTCCCACCAGGTTAGAGGAATAAAAGCAAAGCGATTCTCTGAGAAGTTATGTGTGAATCCTCCTGGCTTTCCTTCCTGATCGCGGAGAGAAATGCGCCAGCGGATGTGGGCAGGTAAAGGCAGATAGTCCAAACGGTGGTGGAGAGCATGAACCCTGAAGCCAGAGGAAATTCAACTCCTAGCTCTGCTACTTACTGGCTCTGGGATCTAGGGCAAGTTCATCTTTCTGAGCATTAATTTCCTCATTTTACAAGTGGGATAAGGACTATAACATAAGCTTTACATGAGGATTAAATGAGAAGAGATATAAAACACTGTACACAGTAAACCTTCAATAAATGATAGCTCCGCTTATTGTTATTAATTAGCAGGGCAACTACACAATAAAATTCAGGGACAGGAACAGACATGACGAACAGCACAATATTGGGATGCTTCAGTCAAATGGTTGGGGAGTCAGAACCAAGTGGAGGAAAGAAGGCAGGGAGGCTGGTAGAAAGGGAGGACACAAGTTCCGCTACAGAGAAATATGCATCCCTAGCACAGGGATTTATTTCCCTTTGTTCTTTCCTTCCTTCCTGTGGAGTGGCTGGAACCCAGGCTCCCCGGACTTCCAGAGAGATGGAGGACAAGTGGCTGGATGGAAAGAATGCCAGCAAGGGAGACATGGGTGTAATAATCTGAAAGACCCGGACGCAGAGTCTCCTGATTTACTCTCCCCTCCCCTGCGCAGGCACACCCACACTTCCCTTCTGTCTCCCTTACACATCAAACTCTCATTCAGTACTGTCAGCAATACAGAAGCCTCTGGAACAAAACTGTTTGGCTTATTGAAATGGTAAAACATATAACATAAATGAGAGAATTTCAGATCAAAGGCAATCTGCCCTGAAGTGTTAATTGGAATTAACTGAGCCAAATGGCAGTTCAACACAAACCGAATGGAACCAACAAATACAAATTTTAAGTTTAGAAAGAAAATTTGACTCCGTTTTCTTCTGTCAAATTAGAACATGCTCTTTATTGTACCAAAGGGCTCATTATACCAAAAAAGGGGTCATTCATTGTACCAAAAGAGGGTTCTATCAATGCCCAGTCCAACAGATTCCCTGCTGACATCCATGATAGCCTAGCTCGAAGGAGACAGCTTGACATCTTGGTTGCTAGTAAAGAAACTATGCTTCACAACTGCCTTGTCAAAATGACATGAAGGTATCTGCAATTAAACTCTAAAACCAGCATCTTACACTAAATAGTATCTTTAAAGCAAGCTAATCTCTTCATAAGGTCCCTGTATTCTTCTACTCAATGTGACTCTGACATGTAACCATGAAGACAAATGGCTGTGTTCATCCCAGTCAGGTTCCTCCAAGCCACATAACATCTGCAAGATGTCTGCATTACATTGGTCTTGTCTGAATGCTCTTTCTGGGGAAGAAGAAGGTCTAGGGCTCTGCTGGGCCTGGATTTGAAGGAGCTAGAACTAGTTTAGAGAGTAGGAGAGATAGAGTGCCAAGGAGATAATTTAGAGTCTGTCGAAACCAAAGGTCTGTGCAAAACGGTAAAAACCTGGTCAAGAACTAGAAAAGATGTGGATTTAGGCTCCCATCATCACTACTTTAGTTTAACTAGTCTCCCACACTCTGGTGTTGATCTACTTCCAATTAAGGCAGGCAGGGGAGACTTCTAAAATGCAAATTTACTCCAGTTAAGGCAGGGGAGACTTCTAAAATGCAGATCTACTCCAGTTAATTCCAGTTTACAATGCTTTCATGCTTTCCCAGTGCCTCAAGACAGAGCTCAAACACTTTAGAAGGCCTTTAAGTCCCTAAAGGTTCTAGATTGTTTTCTTCCTCAACTCTCGTCTAGAGTTTTTGCACAAGTTGTTCTCTACCCAGAACAACACTACCCCTGCTCCTCCTTTGCCTGCCTTCTCATCTTTCAGATCCCTGTTAATATATGACCTTTCCTGGTAAGCCTTTCCTTATCCTCCAAGACTGACTTGGGAGCCTTCCTAAAGCAACCTAAACTTCCCTTAGTCATAGCACCTGTCCCACAGCATAAGGTCCTGGTGATATGCTTGTTTCTCCCACAGGGATAGGAACAATGTCTGTCTTAGTTATTACTATATACCCAGTGAATAACACAGTGCCTGATGCATAGTAGGTCATAAGAAAAGAAAGGGAGGGAGTGGAAGGAAGGAGAGAGGGAGGAAAGAAATGAACTGCAACTCAGAGGGAGCCTGTTCAGAGAATGGCTGGAAGGTGAGTTTGGAGAAATTTCCTGAGGCTTTGCGGTTCTAATGCAGGGTGCCTGTGGCTTTAGCCACAGTAGACAGGAGATAGATCTAGACTGAGAACCACAGTTCCCAAGGGAGAGAAGCACCAGGAGATGCAGATGTGGGATAATGTTTGGCACTAAGAAACCGGCAGAGGATGTGGGGACGGAGAACAAAACAGAAGAAACTTTGTTGGTTTATAAATAAAACCAAAGGAGTACTGAATTTTGGTTCCAGTAAGATAACTTTGGACAATTCATGTACCTTCTTTCAATGAGAAATTTGAACTAGATAAGTGATTTTCAAACTGAGTTCTCTGGAACCCTAGGTTTCTGCAGAACACCATTCTGCAGAATTTATTGAATAAATTCAATAAAATTTACTGTATTGAAGAGAGAAGGTTCACCAATGGATCTGGCCCCAAACTATAGCCAGAGAAAAACTTTGCATATTGGAGTTCTACTTAAAGCTCGTTTGGGAAAAAAAAAAAAAAAAAAAAAAAGGTGGGGGGGAGGGCACTTCTGTTAAAACTAAAGCTTGAATAGCCGCAGCCTAAATGAACTCTCCGACACCTTCCAACCAGAACAGTCCTTGACCCTGTATGACACAGGACCCACCTGGATGTTTTATTCTACTTTGTACTTGTACAAATACCCCTGGGCTGTGTGGATGGCAAAAGCTGCAGCATGTTCTAGAGCCTGTTCTCACTGAGCAGCGTGACAGCAAAGGTAAGGAAACCAAACTCTAGGTTTACTGCAAGGCTGAGGCAATAATGAAACACACTTCCAAATTTCGTGTGGTGATACAGAAGCAGAAGGGAGCATCTTTTTTTCCCCTAAACTAAGTTTGGAAGCGTAATACCAATGACCTAGGATTCACAGTATCAGTGTCTCCAGTCAGTCACAAAGTTGTTATACTCAGAAACAAAGAGTATTGGATCTAAAGCCCATTAAAAAAAGCAATCCAATTCTAATCAAGAAAGAAGAATGCAAAAGTTTATCTAGGCAGTCCACCTGATAGCCTAATTACCATTCAAATATAGTGCCTACTCTTCCTAACAAGGTATTCTGAAGTTACTGTCATTACACACTTTACAGTCCACCTTTATCTGAAGGTTACAGGGAGGAAATGGCACAGATGGGGAGAGAGATGGGAATCTTAGAAAATAAGATTTTCAAAGCCCTGGCTCAAGATGCTGATCCCTTTTCTGTGCTGTTCTTTGGTTGTCCATATTTCATGGGGCATTAAAAGGCCACAAACGTCACTCTACTTCAATTCTGAGAACAGACTAGCAGCAATAATGTGATCTTACCTGGGTCCTTCCTCGTCACCCTGAAAGAAGCAGAAAGAAACAGAATTAGAAATCAACAGTGGTACAGACAGTTTTAGATTTCTTTCTTTTCCCTCTCCTCTTGCAACCTGAAAGCAAAGCTTGTGCATTTACTTTAACAGAGACAAGCCAGCAGATGTCCAAGGGCTAAGACAAGGGCTAATATAATCCTGTGCTCGAAATGCCCAGCAGAGATCAACTGATAATTTGCCCTTGCAAGCAGATAAGTGAATGCACAGACCTAGGAGGCCTAAATAATAGACTTGCCTTTTTATTTGGGTGGCTGGCGGTATTTAGTTCTGAGCAAACTGAGAGCCCAAAATAGCTGTAGGTCTTAGGCAAAAGCTGACCAGCTCCAAAAGCATCAAGCTGTTTCCTTCAAAGACTCATTTCTGCCTTGGTCTAGCATTTTTCTCTCCAAACATGAACACAGCAACTCAAATATAGGGCACACTGTGGTAAAAAGGGCACTGAACTGGGACTCAGAAAATTGGGATTCTAGTCCAAGCTCTATTATTTATTAGCTATGTGCCCTTGGGCAAGTTAATTAATTAATCTGAACCTTGGTCTTCTCCTTTAGAAAAGGAGAGCTCTGAAATTTGATGATCTCCAACATCCTTCTGCCCAACACTGGTTTTTCGCTTTTTCTCATTCACCATCTGCAAAAACAATGTGTGTGGGCTATCTGTGCAGGTACTGCGTGCTCTGAACCTAACTTCAGCAGTGACCAGACCAGAGTCCTTTCACTCCCTTCTTATGATCACACACAATTTTTCAAAGGATTCTGAAGACCTTTCCAAGGGACTCCACTCCTTCATTTGGTGATGGGGTATTTTACATCCTTTCTTTTTAGCCTTTCAGGGTTGGACTCAGTAGAGAATTTAACTCCTAGTTGTTGATAATTCCCCAGGGCACTTAATCGATTTGATTGTTCTTATCGGGATAAAGAATAAACTCCAGAGTCAGACACTCTAGGTTCAAATCTTGACTCCATCAACTCACTTGCTGTGTTACCCTGGTCATGTTTTTTTGCCTCAATTAACTTTCTACTTTGTAAAATGGGGGTAATAACAGCCCCTGTATCATAGGATGAAAGGAGGATTAAATGAATTAATACATACAAACATCTAGCACAGTGCCTAAGACACAGGATGCACTTAATAGAGCTTAGTTTCGCTATCTATAACAATTCAGTATCATAAGCTACTACAGGTGAACAGTAAGGGTAAAGGATAATGACCTAATCTAGGAACTCCCATTCAGGAGCAGGAGAAACACAGAAAGAGATAAAAAATGAATTATGTTAAGGGCTCTACCAAAGACATAAACAGAATGTTTGAAAGTCAGAAGGAAATTGATAAACACAGTTGCTTCTGGAGAAGGAGGAAGAGAGCACTTCACAGAGAAGGCGATACTTATATTGGAACCTGAGGGATAAGCAGGTCCCTGGATGGCAACAGAGGATAAGTGGGAAGGGCACTGGACTAGCAAGAGCAAATGCACAGCAATTTAAAAAAAAAAGGTATGTTAAAGGAATTTTGAGTTTGATGATACTAGAGAACGGGGATGTGTCTGTGTGTCTCGGATAGGGGTTGTGGCAGAGACGGCAGTGCTGTGGGTTGGAGTGCTGGTAGTGCAGTTGAGGTAAAGGTAGATTGCCAGGCCCCAAGCCTATAAGGACAGCTATAGCCAGAAAGGTGATTTAAGTCAGATTATACACTGGACGTTGGATCAGGAGAGCATTTACTAGACCGATCAGGATTTGCAGTACTGGTCAGGGTGCTAATCATCCACACTCTAATGAGAGAGAAGTGGGGTGGGTAGTGGAAGGAGGGTAGAGGGATGCTGAGAGCTTTCTTTGCATTTTGATCGAGTGGATGTCTTATGGGAACTATAATCTAGCAAGAAAAAATTCATATAATTTAAATTTAATATGAGTTACGTAACTATCAGTGACTTAATTAAACCTCAACACAAGTTTTCAATTATCTTTGGGTACTCAAACATAATTGTCTAGGAGAATCTAGGAAAAAAGTACCTAAACTTTCTCCTGTGCTTTAGAGTGAGTCCTCACAACTGTGTGCCTTGGCACAGGGGTTAAGAGATGATCTCTCTGACATACCGAAACATGGCTTCATATTTACGTTCATCAATTCCAACGGTAAAGCTTTTGACATTTGCCTTAACTTTTCGAAGGTTCAGTTTCCTGATATCCACATGGAGATCCTAATTCCTACCTTACAGGGTGGCAATATAGATTAAAATAAATGAGAAAATATGTAAAACACTAAGCAAATGTCTGGTATACTGTAAGTGTTCAACAAATGGTGCTCATTATTGTATTTTCCCCTGAATTAATTACTAACATCTCTAGGGAGAGTGAGGAAGGACAGAGAAGATGGGATACAAGACTGCTTCAAATGCATCCATTTCTGCAGCTTCTAGATACGTGGCTGTTCAGAAGCAATAAGACTACCACAAAGCATGGGGGAAGACTAGGGTGAGAGTTTCACTGGTGAAGGAATGAATAAACAAATGAAAGAAAACACACACACAGACACACACACAGACACACACGGCAATTCTGAATAGGTCATCAGACACTCAGAAGATTGCTCTTCCTTGTAAAAGGTGTGCATGCTATTCCCTCCTACTCTGAAAGCCTACACTAACTCCTATCCATTCTTTTTTTTTTTTTTTTTTAAGATTTTTGTTTATTTATTTGACAGAAAGAGAGGGAGCACAAGTGGGCAGAGCAGCAGGCAGATAAAGAGGGAGAAACAGGCTCTCCACTGAGGAGAGAGCCCGACGTGGGATTCAATCCCAGGACCCTAGGATCACGACCCAAGTTGAAGGCACTCTCAACCAACTGAGACACCCAGGCACCACCCCACCTTTTTTTTTTTTTTTAAGATTTTTATTTATTTATCTGATTCCTATCTATTCTTGAAGATCAAGCCTCACTTGGAAATTTTTTCTCACTGACAGACTTGTTTTGAGTGTAGTGGAGTAATCCTACTCCATCCTCCACAATCATACTACTGGGTTAGTACTTAGAGCAGAAAACCAAGTGACAGCACAATACAGTGTCTCCCTCTTCGGATTTCAATCCCTTGAGAAGAGAAACTGTGTAACATTAATCTCTTTATTCACTGCACCTTACACAGCACAAGGTCCATAATTAATAATTATTCAAAAATGGAAAGGAGGGAAGGCAAGATATAAGTAGGACTTAAGATTAATTTCTACCCCCCATTACAAGTGGATCTTGGTTTCAGAGAATATTAAAACTGAAAGTTTGCTAAACACCTGCTTCTATTTAAATGACTTCTCAGGTTAAGCAATGTTCCCAAATCCTTCCATCAATTATCCTCAATGCTCTTGGCTGGCAGGCTACATTCCAGTACCTTGCCACCTTGTTTCTACTTCCACCAGTGGAAATGTCTGTTCACCCACAACCAAATAATTTTGCTCCTAAGGCTGTTTAAATCAGTTGAGCTTGTAATTAGTACAACACATTTTACTAAATAACAAAAAGTGAATGCAAGAGGGAACCACTGGTTCCATCCAAACTAAGCGGAATGCTTCCAAAGCATTCAATAAAGATGAGTTACTTAAAAACTGCTGTCAACTTTGATGCAGGTGAGACACATGCAAAATATTAGAAAAAATAAAGTATGAAAGTCTAGGATTCCACATTCAGCTTGCTTCGAATGTTATCTTGAAACTGGACCTTATAAACAGTGCAGTAGGGATGTGGTTTATGCCAGAAAAATAACATTCCACTCCAAGCAGCAAACCCACTCTCAAAGGCCGTGAGTCGAAAATCAAAGAAATATACAGATGTGTATCTCAAGTTTAAAATATATTGTTTAGGGTATGCACATATCATTCCTTAAAGACATTTATTTATTTATTTATTTGACGGAGAGAGACAGCAAGAAAGGGAATAGAAGCAGGGAGAGTTGGAGAAGCAGCGGGCTCTCTGCTGGCAAGGAGCCTGATACAGGGCTCAATCCCAGAACCCTGGGATCATGTCCTGAGTCGAAGGCAGACACTTAAAAACTGAGCCACCCAGACACCCCTGCATGTATCATTTTTAATGATTTGCTCATTTGAACTTTTCCTAAAAATTATCTCACGTAGTTCAGTACTTTTCTCTCAAAACTAGACAAAAGATGGAAGTATCATGACATGCAAATAAAAATAAAGACACCGTTTTTTAATACTGACTTTGGCAAAGAAGTTATAAAATTCAGGCAAAAAAATGAGAGACTGTCAAAACTGGTGATGAAAATGTACACTGATGTAATCGTTCTGTGGACAGTTTACAAATATGTACAAAAGACCAAGAAACATCCATACTTTTGACTTAGTAATTACATATGATTTATAAACAAAGGCATGAACTATAATGTAATAAATGGCAGTAAGGAAGTTGGAAATAACTTAAAATAACATAAAAGTTAAGTTTGCACCATTGATTCGGGATTCATACATTATGTTTCTGGACAATTTCTGGTAATATGAAGAAAATATAAAATACAATGTTAAGAAAAAAATAGCATGAGAGGATGAAGATATTAACTAAGCTTACTGTGATAATCATTTTGCAGTGTATGTGTATATCAAAATCATCACACTGTATACCTTGAACTTACATATATGCCTATTTTATCTCAAAAAAAGTTGGGAAAAGAACAAAATACATAGACTAAAAAGAAAAAAGAAGAAAAAAATACCCGAATCAATTTAGTGTGTTTGCTTTCTGCTCTGTCTATAAGTTTTTAACATTCCAAAACAAGTAAGAAGGAAATAACTTTATTTAGTTATTTGAAGAGGAAATAGACCATATCTCATTAGGCCTGTGGGAATGGTACTGAAACTCCTCTTCTACGCTATATTCTCTAAGAGGACCCAAAAAGATTTATTAAAAACAGATTTTTAAAAAGAAATGTGACCAGGAAACCTTGTAATCTCTGGACTTCTTCAACCAGAAGCT